AATGAAAAAAACATTTTTAACAAATTTGGAGAAATCTGACGAAGAAAGAATTAATATTGAAAGGGAAACAGTCCTCCAGAGTGATTGTAGTAAATGGATGGAAATACGAAGGAATTTGTTAACGGCTTCCAATTTCGGCAAAATTATAAACAAGAGGAGCACGACATCAGGTAGTATAGTTAAAAGTTTACTGTATCAAAAAGATCTCTCTGGTGTTACCTCCATCAAACATTGTAAAATTAATGAAAAAATTGCTTTGAATCAACTAGACCAGCAAGAAAACATTAAAATTATGCCCAGTGGGCTATTCATCGATAAAAACCATCCATTTTTAGGAGCAACTCCTGACGGTGTGATAGATGACAATAGGATTGTAGAAATAAAATGTCCAGTATCAGGCTACAGAACTAGCTTGGAAGATGCTGTGAAAAACAGGAAAATTACTTTCTGGAAGTATGATAATGGCCAAATGTTGATCAATAAGAAACATCACTGGTATTTCCAAGTGCAAGGACAGTTAAATATTACAGGAAGGAGCGAGTGTCTTTTTGCCGTGTGGGTTAGTTCAAAGCAACAGATAAAAACAGAAATAATACAATGCGACCAAAGACTGTGGAATGATCATATGGTTCCCAAACTAAAAACATTTTACTTGGAATCTTTACTGCCGGAATTGTTGGATCCGCGAAAAACACGTAATATGCCCTTGAGAAAAATAAGTCCTCCGACCACAATCAAAGAAAAACCCAAGAAAAGAAAACATAATTCAATAAATTCTCATTTTGCCAAGGTCCCAAAAACGCAGGAAAGAACCGACAATTACGACATGACAGATATACAACAATGTAAGCAATCCATTGTACATTTCAATAATATGTAAAATAAATTGGTAAATCCAGTTGGGCATGCCTTAAGCGCATTAAAAAATTTACGTATAACATGATTATATATGATTAACATATATATGATTATACGGAATTTTTTAAAGTAGTTTAAATACATTTCGACAGCACTATCGGCTTCAACACCCTCGAAAACCAATGAAAATGACACCCATGATGAAAAAATTTATACCTAATTCAGCCGCCATCTTGGATTTACATTTCGACAGCACTATCGGCTTCAACACCCTCGAAACCCATGAAAATGACACCCATGATGAAAAAATTTATACCTATTGCAGCCGCCACCTTGGATTTACATTTCGGCAGCACTATCGGCTTCAGCACCCTCGAAAACCATGAAAATGACACCCATGATGAACAAATCAATACCCATTGCAGCCGCCGTCTTGGATTTAAATTTCGACAGCACTATCGGCTTCAACACCCTCGAAAACCATGAAAATGTCACCCATGACAAAAAATATTGATACTACTTACTTTTAGTCTGTACTACTATTATTTATTCTGTGCTTTTAAAATATTGTAATAAAAAAAAATCTCTTATTATTACCATAGTAATGACGCGCTCTCGTGTAGTGTTTTACATATCTACCTAGTTATTTATGATGAGAGTTTATTTTTGTTTAGGAAGCATTACTTTTTGTTATAACGGTAATATGATATTTGGAGTGGGTACTTACGTATGAATATTGCGTGTCGCGTAATTTGTTGAAGCCTCTTTTTTGTCTTTTTTTTTTTACGGATTTTTTTTATTATTGTAATTGTATTGTATATTCTGAATATAAGTACATATTAAACTGTTTAACATGCTAATCTTTTAGGTTTATAAATTGAGTAGGTATCTACGCGAGGACTGAATGATGGATCAGTCTAGATAGTCTCGAGTCCACGAAAAAAAAACACGAGCCTCTAAATTTTGAAACTCGAGTCTCGGAATGGACCCTAGTACCTATTTACGTACTATATTGGTGGTATGTCAGCTGGTAGGCCTATGAAAGAAGCTTCTAAATGTTACTCTTTACACATCGATCCGTCGTACCGTAGAAATACTTCCGTGAATTTGAAATTTATTTGAATAACATATTTTTACTTATACATTTTTATTGCCACACGAATCAAGTTCAAATTCACGAAACGGGGTGTTATTATTCAAAGCTAAACGGTATGTTTACGGTCCGTCTCCGGCACAGATCGCTGTTCATCAGCTGGGCGGCCGGGATCGGCGCCGTTCAAAGTCGAACTCGACTCACGCACTAGATCAGTAAAGTGCTTATCTGAACACATTTCTAAAGACGCAAACTTCGACACGAAATAAATAGCCTATTCACAGATATCATGAATTCTTACAATCATGCATTCGGAAACGTAGGTACTTGCATAGACCAACTACCTACATAACTACATACCCAACGGCTGTCACATTACAGTAACATACACGGCGAAAACTACAAAACGCAAACTTACGTTTTTTGTATTGAGTACCTGCTAAACCAATGGGCGTATCCTTCCAGTATTTGGCTTTTTCCAGTATAAGCTGATCTTGCATTGTATAGGCTTTCAGTACAATGAAGAGTCAGCTTATACTAGAATATTAGTTTGAGTAGCCCTTAGTATGTACAATGAAATTAAATTTGCGATATATAATTTTATGTTCATATAATGACAAGTTAATAGTAAATTATGATTGATAATTTTATTACTTACTACGCGTCCGATTATAGTTTATTTTCCTCTAACAAAATCGCTTTGACCTCGTGTTCCCGCGTGACCGCGAGCAGTGTGCGAACGAATGGCGCGGGGAAGTGGGGGCGAAATTAGAATTTGAGCTGAGGTAGTATAGGCTCTTAACAAAAGCCTATTCACTCTTGCCTAATAGTAGCAAGTAAGTATTATTTGCGAAATATTTGTGTGTGTGAGTGAGAAAAGCATATGAGAATACGTGAAGAGGAATGAAGATCGAATATTCGTAGTAAGTAGTAGTTTTAAACTTTTGGCTTCATCGTTATCATCATTGCAGCCCTTTACAAGGCCATTGCTGGATATAGGCCTCTCCGAAGGAATGCCACAAAGCTCGGTACTAAACCACCTGCATCTATCGATTTCCTGCATATCTTACCATGTCGTTTCTCCATCTAGCGGGGAGGGGGGCACCCAGCACTTCGCTTACCGGTACGATGTTGCCACTCGAGAACCTTCCTTCCCATCGATTGTTTGTTTTTCGAGTTATTTGGCTGGCCCATTGCCACTTCAGCTTAATCCGTTGGGTTATGTCAGTTACTCCAGTTCTACTGCGGATATCCTCATTTTTAAGTCTATCACGCAGAGAAACCTCGAGCATAGCCCTCTTCATAGCTCGCTGATCGACCTTCAGATTCCTCATACGGCCAGGGATGGTTTGCCAAACATTTAAAGAAAACATAAGTCCAAGAATGTTTTTGTATAGCAATTCCCAAGTGCACCATTTTCATTTTATTTAAATTGTTTGATTTAATTTTATAATAATTAACCTAAACTACCTTACCTACCTACCTTTTTTAGATTAGGGTAAGAGATTAGGTACATACAAAAAAATAATGTATCATTTTGTTTAAATAAACCACATTCTAAATTCTAATTCTAATACTAAAAAACCTTAAAAATATAAGTTATAATAACTAAAATATATTATTAAAAAGGAGGTCCTTTACGCATGGTTCTATAATAATTAGGTTAATATTAACCTAATTATAAGTATCTGTATCTAGTTTTCCCTTACCAATAATGTTCTATTAAAGTCGTAAAATCAGCGTTTAATTGTAATACATACCTAATTATACAATTCAGTATTAACTACTTAATAAAAATATGCAATAATAAAATTATATAGGTATTAAAACCATCAAAACCTAAGTAAAGAAAGCATGTTGGTAGTTACACATTTAAATTATATAAATATGAATATTTTCAATTTCGCTAATCAACGTCGCCGCGAAAATGTCTCCTTCGTTTGAGCACATTACAAATTATTTATTTAGAAAACAATATTTACAGTTACCAATGTAGAGATATTAACTAAATTAAGTTTTTCTTACCAATGTAGAGATATCTAAGAGCCGTGGTAGCTCAGTGGTTAACGCTCGCTGTAAATATAACAGAACGCGAGTAACCCGGGTTCGATCCCCGCCGGCACCAATGAAATTGTTAATTGCAATTTTAAGTGCTGATTTACCACGTACTCGGCGGTGAAGGAAAACATCGTGAGGAAACCTGCATGTCTGAGGAATAAGAAAAAAAAATATTTCGAAGACATGTGAAGTTCGGCAACACGCATTTGGGCAGCGCGGCGGACACTTCCTTGCCCTAAACCCTCTCAGAAATGAGGGGAGGCCTGAGCCCAGCAGTGGGACGTATATAGGCTGTAACTTTACTTTACTCTACTTTAAGTTTTTCTACTAATAATAATATTTACAAATGATATAAATTATGAATCAAAATGTGAAAGAGGCATCTAAATAATCGTTATTTGACATAACTTTTGAATATTGAGCTCGAAGAACTCAAAAATCAAACAAATGGAAGATTTTCAAACGTTTCAAGCTAAAACAGGAAACGCTTTTATATACCAATATTACGGTATATAGCTACATCCCTAGGGATATTATATCACGGCGTCAACCAGTTTACCGCGACATTACAAACGTTAGTGATTCTTTAAAAAAAATGTTTTTTCTTTATCTTTATTCACAGTTGCATATAGGTTTTAAGAATGAGAATGCGTTACTAAATAATTTAAAAGATTTACCCATACCATGTCGAGTAGGTTTGTTGGTGAGTGCAGAGCCGGATTCCCGGTTCTAGAGCTTTAAATTTTCCGTCATTACTCAGTCGCCAGAGTTTATTTATCAGCAAGGTGAACCAAGTGCAAATGAGTTGAAAAATAAAATGGCATATTCTCCATACACAAACAAAACCACCCACATCAACAGTAACCACTCATCAGAATGGCTGGGTGACAGAGTGCTCGCTGACCTTTTTTATAAAATAAAAAAACGAGAATTATTCTTATTTACATTTACTACTTATAATAATCTAAATACAAATTGCTCCTAATATTACTTATTTCTTCTTTTTCTTTTCAGTACGGCTGCCGCCGATTTCTTCTAGTTGCTGCTTGAGTTCTATTAGTTGATTATCAGGCACATAACGAATTTCCTCATGTTCTATAGAATGTTCGTGCACGTTCAATGTACAGCCTTCAGGCAATGTCGCTCTTGCCACTCGCAGTAATGTACCCAGCGCCCACGCAGGTACATCTACAACCTTGAACACAAAATTTTGGAGATTTTAATTTTATTTTAATATTTTTTTACCAAATATCTAAGTCATTGAGTGCTGAATACAAGGTGTTAAAATGAGATGATGATGATGAGAGAATCACAGTAAAATATTATATTGTAGTGCGATTGGAAGGAATACACATAAAAGTCTTTGTAACAAGAGGGAGGGAATCTTTTGAAGTAAAGAGCCTTCTGTACTTCAAAATCAATTGAATTTAAGACTTGCATATCATCAAGTAATAATTTTGACTGAAAAAATATGTTTCAGGCTCTCTTTATTATATCAAACCTATTTGATCTATTTCTGATCTACCAATTGTCAAAACTCCGTAGTTAAGTTATTGCATATTCTTGAAAAAATGTTTTTGTCGTACAAAATCTATACAAGGTTGAGCTGATCAAACTTATTTCAATACATGGGAGAAATCACAGCATGCTTTGGGTATATCTTCGACTTCACCATGAAACATTAATCAGGAAACTACAAAACTAGTGGTGGTACACTGGTGTACCGTAGAATTGTTGCTCTTAATTTTTGAAGTGAAAACTTCTTTAGCATCGTTGTGATTGAAACTGGATGAAACAAAAAAGCGACAGTAAAAAGAGACAGACACACAAATTCATAAGATTTAAGGTGGGAGAAAATGAGATAGGAAGCATTATATATTATAGATCAATGTTCGCGAGAAATAAGTCGTAGACGCCGCCGAAACAGCGTCGCTTACGCGTTTTGTTCAACAAGGTACGAAGCTGTGGTACGAAGGTGTCGTGTGCCTATGAATTAAACGCAGTGAAGAACGGCCAAACCTCAACTTCGTAATAGGTAAAATTGATATAAATTTTTTTGTAATTAGTGAGTACTATATAAGGTATATCGAAAGGAGTAATCTAAGCGACAGTAGCCTAATGGCAGGGCGCGGACCGCGAACTCAAAAAGGTCGTGGGTTCGAATCCGCCATTCGACTACTGGCGTGAACCACTCGTATTACAAACAATTTAAGCTTACCACGAGTGGTTAAGGGGAATATTAGTTTGAGGGAGAGCGGGAGGTGCTCTTCAATCCAGGTAAGACACATCATTGTATTTAGTTCGCGGAAGGTTGCGAAGTAATTTATATTTTTATTATAATGGATTTCCGCAAAGTAACGCCTGATTCTATCAATTAAGTAATGTGATTTAAAACAGGGTAGAGTTGTCTTGTTAACCAGGTATTCTCCAAACCAGTGGTAAGTTAATCACAACGATGACTTTAGTAAGTATTATTTATAATCCATATTAAACAAAAACAATCAATTTCTGACGATTCTACAACGATTTTCAAATTGTTTGTCATGTAAATAACTCCGTAGTGACTAGAAAACAAGAAAATCTGTCGGCGTAAAATCTAATGAGTGGAGTGAGTGAGTGAGTTAATATTTCCTAGTTTATTTCTAATTTGTTACGTGTAGTATTTTTGTGAACTTTTTTTATATTTTCAGCTCACCTTACCTATTCAGTGTATAGTTCATAGAATACTATAATACATAAATAGAACGGGGGAGTGGGCGGAACCCGTGTAGCCGCTAAAATGTCACTAACATGTCAATTCACACGTATAAATGTCAACACATCTCTTTTGACGTTACAATTGTTTACAATTTTCGATTAGTTTGCACACTATTTACAAATAGATAGGTATTAAAATTTAAACAATTAATTTTTTAAATAATTATCTTGAACATTAATTAAAAGTTTAAAATGTGTAAATTCGCTCAGTCTGTCAACACGGGGATTCGGGTTTGTATAGTTCGGCCGTTCAGATAATGCGTTCCTGACACCTATCAGTTAGTCACGACTAGTGATGGGCACAACATAACACTGAGTTCGTTACCGTTCCTCCAAAATGAACCGCCGCGTTATTTTTAAGATTATTTTCGTTTTAAATTGGCGGAATCATTTAAAATTTATATTTTAGTAATTTAAGTGGAAACCAAAAAAAAGGTAATATTAATATAATAAAATTGTTTTATTTATTCTTTGTTACAAAGTTACAATCTGTATTTCTATGCAATAAAGTACATTAATAATCAGACTCCGATTCGCTTGAGGAGGTCTTCATCATGGTGTCTTCATCATCATCTTCGCCTACATGTATAATTATATTATTATCAATAACAGAATCAATCCTGATATCTCGGTCAAAATGTTCCACAATCAGGTTTTTAGTCTTCTCAACAACCTTTTCCCAGTCATCTCTTGTGACTTCCCCCGCAGGCTTCTTTTAATAGGGTCATCATCTTTTTCGTGCTGAATGGCGGGGAAGTATTGTGGCGGGCGACGTAACCTTTTATTTGAGCCCAGATTAGCTCAATCGCGTTATATTGGCAATGATACGGTGGGATTCTTAGAACGCGATGACCGTACTCCAGAGCCAGTTCATCGATTTCGTATCGCACATTTGCCGCTTTATTTTCTTTAACTAATTTAATTAGCTCTGGTTTTAGCATCTGCATTTTTGCGCCAATGCATTTTGCTTGTAACCAAGCCACCATTTCTTCTTTTTTATTAGCTTGAGTAGGTGGTTTCTGTATTTGAACCGAGTGATAGGAGGCATTACTAGGTAATAGTACTTAGGAGGCAAAGCACGTTCTGGAACCACTCTTTAAATGTAGTGACATTCATTTCCTCGTGGTAGTCATTTGTGGTTTTTGATTGAAATGCCAGTAACGCGTTCTCCACAAAGCCGTATTTTGCAGAACTTGCGTGGCATATTATCAGACGGGCCCCCTTACCCATTGGTACTTTCGACGTCGACGCTTGTGTATCATCCGTCCAAGAACGGGAAACCGTGTGATTGGCGTTTAGCCATGTCTCGTCAATGAACACGACATTATCCCAGTTATCAATATTTTTTTGCTTCTCTCAAAAAACTTATCCGTTTTAAAATTATTTCGTATCGTTCTAATAAAATTTTTCTTTTGTCCGTTTTTTTATACGAAAAACCAATATCTTTTAAGATTTTGGTTAAAGCAGTTTTACCCCCGCTAAACAGTCCAGCTTCTCTTAACGATGCCAAAAGCTTCTTCCTGTTGAGATATTCATTTCTGAAATAGTAACCATATATATGATTTCTGATTGCATCGGCGTCAAAGGTGTCAATATCTGTCACGGGTTTAGTTCTACGTTTCTTCTTCGGAGTACGTAAAATATTATCTTCCGTGCCAGTAGAGCCGAACTTTTCTTTATTAATATTTGTTATCGTTCGTTTGCTAACTCCAAGCGCCTGAAAGACGCGTTCTTGTACTTGTTCGACAGGTAACAGGGGTCCGCCATTTTGCCGCTCCCGCTCAAAGTAATCTTGCAGCTTGATGATTAACTCACGGGCTCCACTTTTCAATGTTTGTCCACGTTTAGGCATTATTATGCACCAAAAGTAAAAAGAACGCAATACAAAACACAATCGAAGTCCGATTTAGCGCCGATGTCAGTTTGAAAAGCAGAAACAGTCCATTAAACGAAAGCCGGGTAATCAAATAAAAACAGATCGAAGACACTTGAAGAACGTGGTCTATGCGCACGAAACGACAACAGACGACTGTTTTAGCGTCACAAAATGGCGGCCCATAACGCCATTTGGGGTTACCATTCTTAACCTAAATATAAAAATGCTACTTTCTTTCGCGCGTTCGGTTTGGTCGTAGTTTTATTTTTATATTTAATAAAAGTTATCTTATAGTTCATTATTTTCAAATTCTTAAAAAGAAAAACAAAACGTATTATTTTATAAAGTATAACTGTATAAGAACAGATTACGATACTGTTATTGCCTGTTATTATTAGCACACTACAAATATAAAACGCTGACATAACCTTGTAATAGCGCAGTATAGATTTAGAAAAATATTGTTTACCAAGTTATTTGACACTCAGTTTGGCACAAAATTATAACATTCATTGATTATTGATATAATAATGTTGTTTTAATGCTCATCAATTGTTAAAACGGTAAACAACCAGCAAAAATATTTTTATCGTAACTGCAACGCCATTACAAAGTTACGTCGTCAGTTCAATCGCGACGTGTCAGGAACGCATTCTCTGAACGGCCGAACTATAGTAGTGATAATACAACGTAATTGCTTGTATGTGTGCGCCCGGCGACGCCGAGCCTCGTACAAAATATTGACAGCCATTATATTGTGTATTATATAGTATTTTATGGTATAGTTGAGCTGCCACACCATAAACAACAAGACAATTTACCAACGATTACCCCTTAACATCGCACTTACACAAAAATTTATTTGCTATGACGGTTTCGGGGTAGATTTTGGATCTTGCTTTCAATTGTGTTTACTGTAGGGGAGCCACTTCTGATTACCCCTAACTAGATTTTATCCAACTAACTTGTAAATCTACGGCAAGGGAGCAATTGCATACAGGAGTACACGCGCTGTCAATTCTCTCCCGATATTGTATACGGAACCCAACAATTTAATTTCTGTTTTTTCTCATGCTTAGATGTTCATTTAAATGATCGACGCCTAACGCACTCTTTAGAAAGATTTAGGTCTTAGGTCTTCGTGTATTCAGGTATAAATTCTCTTCAACAAGCTGAAGCCTTCTGTAATCATCTAATACCGAAGGACGACGGGACTGAGGTTCGTCTTTATCAAATGCGTGGCATATTCGCTTAGGAGATTATTAGGGCCTGAACCGACGATATAAAGTATGCAACAATGTTGTTTTTCACGCGTTATATTCAAATTTTTAATAATTATTACAACAAACATAAAACATGACTCGCTAAAAGCTTTCTAGGTAACTTAATAATTCATAAACAAACTTGTAATTTTAATCCACTGAAAGTAGCGTTGACCTTATTGTACAAAATTGCAGACTTCCTTAGTAACCCGGAGTAAGGAAATTGGTGCAGCTTCACTCCCATGTCGTTAAGTCGCTAGTCTCAGTTAAGACTGGTCGCCGTGACCGAAATTACGTCTAGAGGATATTATAAACCTGGCCTGTGTAGATAACTAGTCTCCATCGAGACTGGCCTCCGTGACCCAAATTCGGTCTGGAGCAAATGGTTATTATTATTCTTATTCCATAAAACACCTCAATAAAAATGGCGAGAATAATGTCTTTTGATATTTTTTCCAGTCAACCTGGCCAACCCCCAAATTAATTTGCTAACATATGTTAGTGAGAATGGAATGGAATGGATTTTCTATTGTCAGTTATGCGTTCTACATTTCGATAATGTTGAAAACGTAGGTTACGTTCTTCAGATGTCCCGACTTACGAATACCTTCCGTTAGTTAGCAGGGAGCATTGAATACTGGTCAAATGTACGTGTCAAAAGTCGAAACTTTTCCATTTCAGCCGCCTATACACGTCAGTTAATTTATAATAAAATGGCTTGGATTTTTTTTATAGTATAAGGGTGACAAACGAGCACACAGTCCATCTAATGTTTTTTGAATCTTATTAAAAAGTGGATGTTGTGGCCGTGGCTGTGTTAGATAGATACTTATAGCAAAAAAAAAAACAATTAGGTAATAATTTATCTACAGAAATACCTAAGGGCCTACGCAGACCGGGACGGCATGGCAAGGGATTTTACCGTGAGTCAGCGCACACTGGCCGTTTAGATACCGCGGCATTCCAGCACTTTGCCACGGCATGCCACGGCGTGCCGCGGCTCGACAAAGCACGCCTCAGCGACTCTTGCTGCCTGATACACTTTTAGTCTTCAGTTGCGTTTGATCGAGTGTTGGTGTGGCTCAGTTTTAAAATGGTAGATTGGGATTTGGTGTCGATATCGATTGTTGCAGGAGAAAAAGGTGCACAGGCTAACAATAGGGATAGAAGGAGATGTTGGGCTGGTAATGTATGGAAAGAAAGGGAATCAAACGGTGAATTCAATCATTTATTTAATGACATAGAATGGATTATGAGGAATTTCAAGCACTGTTGAATATATGTCGACCATATATCGAAAAACGGGCGCCGGAGTCCGTGGCATACCGTTGCCTACCGCAGTATGCGACGGCATCCCGCAACGGGAGCCTGTGACGCGTCTTTTAATGCCGTGCAATAAAATCCCTTTCCATGCCACGGCATCATTTTAAGCATAGCAATTTATGTCGTATTTCTGTAACAGTACGGTTGAATGTCCATTAGTAAAAATTAAAATCCCTTGCCATGCCATCCCGGTCTGCGTAGGCCCTAAATACTTTATTAAAAACTTTAACGTTGTAATTTACTTCACTGTCCAAGTATCTACTTACATACATAATATCTATACTTCCTTCGTAACTAAAATATTTTAAATTATAATAACACTATTAGGAATCGTATTTCCGGTTTATTTGTTGTTTACATTATCTACCTATTTCTTCCGAGCCAAGCATTGCGACTCCCGACGAATAGTCTTGCAAGTTGCATGCGTTGGGCATCACAGAACTCACATAGGTGCAAAAATATGGTATATCCATCACAGTCAGAATAGGTACTTCACCTAAGCAACTTAATTAACATTTCTCAATGTATCTTTTACTCTTTATTGACAGCTCTTTGTAACCACGGAAAGTCCGCCGTAACGTAGGAAATGGAAAAGATGCAAAGTAATACGAACACTCGTGCGCAGCGATAAAGTTTTATGTCGTAAGTTTTATTTACTTATCTAATTAATAATAATTATGTAGGCTATTAAACGTCGGCAAGTAGTCAACATCAAAGGAGCGCAACTTCAGTACGTAGTACTATTATTTATTCTGTGCCGAAACGTCGGCAATCAAGAAGTTAAAATTAAACGCGATATAATTTGTAAAATTCCATAAGCTTTTCAATGCGTGTAAGTAATAATCTGTACAAATGTATGAATTTAAAATAAAATTTTACTAACAAAAACATATATTTTTTAAATATGTTGAGTATAATTATAATTAATTATGTAGTTCAAAATGAACTCATTTAGTATCAAGTGTAGTGTAGTTATTTTTCACTCGTTAATGAAATCACAATACCGACAGAAAATACGTAAAAACAAAACTTTTAGAACCAAGTACTAGTACTCGTAGGTACTCACCTGAACATTTCGTTCATAGACATTAAGGTTATACTCAGCATCAATTACCGTGCTTTTAGGTTTGAAACGTTGGACTTTTAATTGCTGTGCTGGTGTAGCCCAACTGAAAATAAAATACATATTTAGTAAAATATCTTTCTTTAATTACTTACTAATATCGATCGGGTGTTTTTCGCTTAGGGCTTCTCTTCCAAGTGATTGGAAATTGAACAAAATAATTAAGCTACCAAACATCCGAATAACAATAAGTCTGTAAAATTTTAATGACACTTTTACCAATAGCGTTTAAGCTATTTAAATAACAACTATCCTCATTGAGTTTATGCAGCAATCTTATTAGCCAAAACTCCACGGTATTTCAACCCACTTCAGAGCCACGCGAGCCATAGCCCCAACGGCAGCCGGTAAATAAAATAAACAGCCTATAATATATGTCACCAGCTTCCTAACAGTTTTAAGAGTGTTATGTGCAGTTTAACTGACTTGCATTTTATCAGACATGCAGGTTTTCTTACTATGTTTATCTTCATCGTCGTAAACTTAGTAAATCAGTTCTTAGAATTAACAAACGGTTCATCTAGAAAAGTTCTGAGGTAACACATAAAAATACAGTCGAATTGAGAACCTCCTCCTTTTTTTGAACACGGTTGAAAAGACATAACACCGCCAACAGTTTCTCACTTCGTGTCACCAACTCGTCAGAGTAAGCTTTGACGCGATTTATCACGTCAATTATCTAATGAACCACGGAATAAGAATTCACGGGCTTTCCATCCTTACTCAAGAGGGCTAGCTTGCCCATCTTCAATTGTGAGAAAAACCGACCCCTCTTTAGACATTCAATAAGTAAATTAAAGCTTTGTCCTCCCTTATTGCTTCAGGAGTCTATGGATTCGCAATACCATAATATCATATCTTCGCGCCTCAAACTTATAAAGATGCTGGCGATTACGACTCCACATGTTTTAAAAAGATTCGACGTGATGCGAACCATAGAAGAACAGAAGAATTATTTTAGTAAATGCATGCGGCTCACTTAATAATATACGACTAAGCCTTTCAACATCCGCGAAACGATAGGAATTGCAGAAAGGAGAATAAAAAATAAAAAAAACAAATTTCACAATGTGGTCAAGCGTGGTAGGAAATTCTTAAAACAAGCACGGTAGCAGACTGCTAAACAACAAAATGGTATTGTTAGAGTTTAGTTTAAAAACAAAAGCTATATTGGTTTAAAGTAGACACGTCGTTAACAGAAATGGAGCTCACGCGTGAACATTTCCGTGCCATAATTTATCACAATTTTCGCCGCAGCTTATCTCAAGATAAATGTCTCAGCGAACTTGTTTCGATTTATGATGTTGAAGCACTGAGTCAAACGACAATATACGAGTTCCGACGCGGTCGTGTGTCGCTCAGCACTGTTTCTTCTGCAGTTCGATCAAGAACAGCGGTCACGCCTGAAAATATCGCAGCTGTGCGAACTATTATATTAGTTGACCGTCATGTGACATACGAGCAGATTCGGGCTGTTATCAGTATCAGAATAACTGCAATTCAGTCGATATTACATAATGAGCTGTGTAAGAAAGCTAGCTTCCCGCTGTGTTCCCTACAATTTGTCCGAAGATCAAAAGGCGGCTGGTGTAGATTGGTGCCAGAATTCTCTGCAACGCTTCTAATATTTTCAGAATATAGAATAAAACACAGAGGTTGAATATTGTTATGTATTAAGCTTGGTAGCATGACAAAAGACAGACTTCATAAGTGAATATTAAATTACCTACATTCAATTTACTTTATTAGTTAACAAGGTAAACAAGTACCCCCAAATAAAATAACAATAAATCTTTGAATATGACATACCTTCCCCATTAGTAAGTAACATAAACAATATAATTATTTAAACAAGATAGGTACATAGAATCCACCATTCGACTACTGGCGTGAACCACTCGTAACACAAGCAATTTAAGCTTACCACGAGTGGTTAAGGGGAATATTAGTAATGTTTATAGCATTGTTAATATTCTTTATTTTTATAAAAAAATGAACAAATAAACAAAAAAATAGCTTTTGAAATCAATCATGTCTAATTTATGATACTTATTAATACACATTACATATAAATACAAACTTAAGATAAATAAAGATTTTCTCTATTAGCACTTGATCTTTCATATGATGTTTTGGAATGTAAACTTGACTTATGTTTTATCTTTCTAATTGTTGAAAGTGTAGTCTCTGCTGTTGATGGTATTCCTAACATCTCTGCCCATTTATTAGAGTCTGGAATGTCAATTATTATATCAGAGTCTTGACTGCTTTCTTGATTTTCTTCGTTGTTGACCCTATCTGAATTTTCAGGATATACATCCTCTACTGATTCAGCGGCTCTAACCATTCTTGCCCCCTCCTGCATTTCAGAATCCTCATATTGAATATTAGGCCCTTTTTTAATTAGCTGATTAATATGTCAATTGATTGTTATACCATTATTGGTCCTAATCTCATAATTTGATAGCCCTTTTTTGTTAATTACTTTTCCTGGAAGCCATCTTGGGCCAGTACTGCTGTAGTTGTGATACATAATCTCCTTACCTACATTAGTTTCCCTGATTTTCCTTTGACTGTTATTGCTGATTTGTGTTTCAGTTTTTTCATTTTTTGCTGAATCTGGATGTATAGTATCCAAAAGTGTACGTAAACATCTCTTCATTAGTAGTTCAGACGGGCTCTCATTGGTTGCGGTGCATGGTGTAACTCTAAGACCAAGCAACAAAACAACAAAAATGTATTTTAGTGTCCCATGCTAGATCTTCCTTTTTGCACAGTTTGTCTTTAATAGTCTGAACCATTCTCTCCGCCAACCCATTTGTAGATGGATGATATGGCGCTGTTGTTACATGACGTATGTTATTAGCTTTTAGTAATTCACTCATTTCTTTCGAGACAAATGATGGTCCATTATCAGAAACCACCACTTCACATAAGCCATGTGTTGCAAGTGTAAAAGTCTTATAACTGTTGATGATGTAGTGTTATTTACCATAAATAATTCTGGCCAGCGGTGTGCATCCACTATGATTAAAAAAATATTTTTTATGGTATGGTCCAGCAAAATCAATATGAATCCTTGACCATGGATTTGTTGGTGTGATCCATTCATGACTAGATTTTTGAGGCATATGGCGATTCTCCAAACACTTTTGACAGCCCTTTACCAGCATCTCTATATCCTCATTAAGATTTGGCCACCACACATAACTCCTTGCAAGTGCTTTTGTTTGCACTATACCTGTGTGTGTTTTTATGCAAAATTTGTAAAGTTTTATGGCGCATTGATTTTGGTACTAATAAACGGCAGCCCAATAATATACAGTCCTCTTGTAATGATAACTCTATACGATGAAGCCAAAATGGGCGTAAATCTTTGTCTATTATCCTAGCAGGCCAAACACGTTTAATATAATAAATAACTTGCGATAAAGTTTTATCGCGTTTCGTTTCTATGGCTATGTCTTTAGCACTAAATGGAAAATCTTTGGGAGTCTCAGCCATCTGCAAAACCTCAGACAACTGTTTCTCTGGTTGTTCGTTGACTGGTTGTGGCCTTCTACTTAGGCTGTCTGCGCTACCTATTTGTCATCCTGGTTTATATATAATATCATAATCATAAGACATTAAAGCAATCGCAATCCTCATTAATCGAGGAGACAGCATATTTGACATTGGTTTTTTAGGGTTAAAAATACCAAGCAACGGTTTGTGGTCTGTAATAATCCGAAAATGTCGACCCATGAGGTAATTGTGAAATTTCTTAATGCGAAACATAATTGATATGGCTTCCTTATCTAACTGAGAATAACGTCGTTCATGTGCATGGAGAGTTCTCACGCCATTGCTATTGGCCGTTCTTGACCATCCTCCATTTCATGTGACAATACTACTCCTACCCCATATTCTGAACTGTCACAGGTAAGAACTACTGACTTCTTTACATAATAATGGACTAGAGTTAAATCAAATGCGAGTCAGCTTTTAGCCATATCAAATGAATTTTGTTCACGTTCAGACCATCTCCATGTCTGTGAAGAATGTAATAATCGATGTAATGGTTCAAGTATTGTCGCTTTATGAGGTATGAACCTTTCATAAAAGTTGTACAACCCGAGAAATGCTTGCAGTTCTCGCTTATTTTTGGGCTCTGGCGTATTTACTATCGATTCGACTTTACTTTGTGCAGGATGTATACCCTCTGAATTGATAACATAGCCTAAAAATTCAACTTTTTCTTTAGCAAATTGGCATTTCATTTTGTTTAAGCGTAGTCCCGCCTGTTGAATTCGACCTAATACTGAATCTAATCTTTTTTGCATTTCTAACATAGTACGACCACATATGATTATATCATCTATCAAAACTGCAACTCCTGGCATGCCAGCCAGTAAAGAAGTCATTAAGCGCTGGAAAACTCCTGAACATGCTTTTACTCCAAAAGCTAATCTATGCACTGTATATAAACCCTTGCACGTGTTTAAAGTTAGAAGTTTTGAAGTATTATTATTATTATAATCCACAACTACTTGTGTGTAGGCTCTATCTAGATCTAAAGTTGTGAAAAATCTTCCTCCAGCTATGGTAGCGAAGACTTCATTTGCTGTGGGCATCAGATAAGTATCTGACTCTGTTGCTTCATTAACTCTACTGCGGTAATCTCCACATCAACGAATCTTACCAGATTTTTTTATTATTGGCACAACTGGTGTAGCCCACTCCGAAAAAGTCGTTGGACGTAAAACTCCTTCCCTTTCCAAACGATCTATTTCCATCTCTACTTTTTGCCTTATAGCAAACGGTACAGGACGCGCTTTTAAAAATATTGGAATAACTCCTGGTTTATGTATGTGTATTTACAAAAGGTTGGGCCCATTACCCTTCGATACAATAACACATAGGTCCCTCGAAATATTCTTATAAAATACAGGCAACATAATTTGCCCTTGAAGTTTGACTGGTGTTTCAGTCCAGGTCCGCAAGGATATTGAGCTCCTGTATCAACTTGCATATGGATTGGTACGCCTGCAAGTGACAACGCCACTTCGTATGGTGGAACACGGCTATTACTGTGAAAGCAATAAACTCCATTTAAATGATCATCAGATTCTGCAATAAACTTTATCTGCTTCGAAGAATTCTTCTTCTTACTTATGCAAATTTTCTCAAATGTTCTTTTTGGGCTATAATGATTTGTTAAAATTATTTCTATTTCACTGAATGTCACATCAACCACTTTTTTGGCGTAATTAATGCAAGTAATGTCTCGTAAACTCGTGAACCACACACTGTGAAAAAATTTGCCCTTTTAGCAGCATCTAATATGACGCCATTAGCCTCAAAACAAAATTTTAAACAATCTAGATAATTGTCCCAACTATCTGTATGTGGATTATACTCATCAAATTTCACTGATTTTACGTCCATTTTTAACACTTTTCACCACTCGTCGCCACTAATATGTTCAGAATATAGAATAAAACACAGAGGTTGAATATTGTTATGTATTAAGCTTAGTAGCATGACAAAAGACAAAGACTTCATAAGTGAATATTAAATTACCTACAATCAATTTACTTTATTAGTTAACAAGGTAAACAAGTACCCCCAAATAAAATAACAATAAATCTTTGAATATGACAGCTTCAAGGGAGGGAAGTCAAATGCCGTTTATAATATCATCTCAGGTGATGAATCATAGATTTATTCATACGAACCTGAAAGAAAACATCAGTCAGCAGTTTGGGTCTACGAAGACGAGGTCAAACCAACGAAAGTGGTTCGCTCCCGCAGCGTGGAAAAGTGCATTAAGTTGAACAGAAAATACTTCCAAAAACAATAAAATACAATTTAGCTATATCGTGCATGTGGTTTTTCTTATTCCCGATCATTTCAGTGTGCCCCTCGTATATATCAAAAAATTCTTAATGGCAACTTACCACTCATCAACTTGTATACCCATTACTTCTGCAAAACGATGTAATTCAGCTTGACAAGCTTCCAATACAGCAAAATCATATCCCTTTAATTGCAAGTTTAAGCAATCATAAACAGGCTCATCAGGCTCCATACTCTGTAATTTTATTAAGTAGCGGTAGTTATCCAAAATTTACTTTTTGCTTCCTTCTCGTTACAAACATTTACATTACATATTAGAGAAGTTAGGCTTAAGGTGCTGTTCAATAGCACATTTTGCTGTACACATATGTACACCTTGGTTTAGGATTACAATATTATTTATTTCTCAAAAGTTTACCAATTGCTTATGAGAAATTCAACAATTTACAAAGAATAATAAAGTAATCCATTACGAGCATTAGCTTCTGCTTAAGTACTGAACTCTACTATTCATAGTTATTGTAAATAGTAAAAATTTTGTCTGTTATTGATACTTTTAATATACTTATTTTGTTTTTTTTTTTTTAATAGATTGCATTAAAACTACACTTACACTATGGGTATTTAGCATAGATATAGACAAGAATATAAGCTAAATTTTATACAATATAAGTAAACATTGACCTGCTTTTTATTAATTCATATTAATGAATTTATTTTATTAATTCACAAATTTATATTAAATATTATAATTTATTTAAGTATTATATTAAAACATAGAGCCTATAATAGATTTATTTTCTATATATTGTTAGTAAGAGAGCAAACATTACTATTATAATAATGAGAATGATTATATAAAGCTGGACTTGTTTAAATCAGGGATTCCGAAACTATTTTGGGAAGAGACCCCTTTACCAAAAGGAACTGATACCTCAGACTTCCATAGCCAAATTACTTTAAAAATACTATCTCTAGTTTTTTAAAAACTTTGTAGTTGGTTAAGTGAGTAAAATTGACATAATTTTCTCATCAAAATTTAACATAATAAATAGACATAAAATTCAGTAAACACCTAGTGTAGTTTAGTTTAGTTTATGGTGGGCTGTTTTCTGCAACTCCACGTCTAAGCGTGTATTTTGCGTGTGGGCAGGAATAATGTGGTTATTCGAGCCATGATATTTCCCCGAAAAAGTTCAACATCTAGTGTAATTAATAATTATTAATACAAATTACAGTTACAAATTATAAGTGTTTGTTTACGTCGACCCCTGGGAAACCGTTACCCAGGGGTCCCTTCAACCACTTTCGAAATCCCTGGTTTAAATCATGTAATACTTACTATTAGATAATCTGGTTCATACAGATCACTTTTAAGCCGCTTTTGATGATTTTGTACAAGTACTGTTACTCCAGCCATTTTATGTGGTTTCAGCAAATTTAATTTAAGCTGTAAACAAGGAAAAATTAATAACACTCCAAAAATATATAGCAGCTTGGATATGGTTTAAAAATAAATAGGAGCTGCTTAGTTATAATTCTCTGCTGATCATGTGGTCCCAGGTTTGAATCCTAGGTATAAAATCATCCACGGGATATGGGATGGTAGGTTCTCTTACGCCGCTACTACACGACGAATTATAATTTAATAGGTATGTACTATTTTATATTAAAATTATACTTACGGCTGATAATATTCTAGAAGAAAGCATTGTAATAATAATTATTTTTTTGTTTTATTCAATATGTATAATCTAATTAGATTATCCGTGCTATATAATTTTAATGATATACATTTATTTAAATAGCTAGTTAAAGTATAAATTTAAATAAAAAATACCTATTTATCAAATGTTTATTTTTTAACCTTAGATATTGACTTGACAATAGGGATAATCGATGATCATCGATGTTGTCACATCTCAAACATCGAAACATCGATGTCAATGAACCAATAATTGATTAATAAGAACTTCGAACTTCGAACGCGAAATCAATATCAACTAAATCTTGAAAAATTTCTCTATTAGAAGATCTATTTAAGGGTTTAAAATTTTGAATAATTTGGTATTCCTATATGCATCGATCAGCTAAAAAATATCATTATGGTGTGTATAATTTAACAGTCAAGTGTGAACCAAAATGTCACAGTTGTAACTGCTTTCGCTTTGTTATTCTGCGGTGTCATTGTCGGTTGTCGCCTAATAACTATTCTACGTAAATTGATATTCAAAATAATAATTGATTTTTCCCTTTCAGTCTATACCCATATAATTTTGAGACAATATTTTAGTATCTACACAAATCAATTATATTTAACTGTTTTTTTTTTGAGCTTGTCATAAAGAGTTTATTATTTGCTTGAAGATTATGAAAATAAATCACCGAGCGATCGCGAGCATAAACAATTTCACTGCATACTGCATTTGATTATGCATTTTATAAACGGCTGTGGATACTTACTGCTCGGACTTCCTGGTTAAAAATTGTAAAAAAACATAAGTGACGGAAAAGTCTATTATTGTGGTGATTTTGTTTGTAAAAAGGTATTAAAATCGTTAGTTATAGAGAAGACGTAACTCATGAAATGTAATAATGCTTTATTAAATGGATTATTAAGACTGTTCAAAATGGAATCTGAGAATGGAATTAGAGGGATCCTCAAAAACTGCCACCGTAAAAAATAATTTCACGGCGTCGACATATCGAGTGACGTGCAGTTTCGTGGTCACTTGGAAGGGAAGGCCAAATTGGCCTCTAAAAAGCTTGGCGTGCTCAGCAGAGCGGGACAGTATTTCATGCCAGCACACCGCCTGCAACTTTACAAGGTGCAGGTTCGGCCGCACATGGAATACTGTTCCCATCTCTGGGCTGGGGCTCCCCAGTACCAGCTTCTTCCACTTGACCGCATCCAGCGCAGAGCGGCTCGAATCGTCGATGACCGAGTGCTTTCCGATCGGCTCGATTCACTGGCGCTGCGAAGAGATGTTGCATCTCTTTGCGTATTTTATCGCATCTATCACGGGGAGTGCTCTGAGGAATTGTTCGGATTAATCCCAGCCGCCAAATTTCGTGAACGCACTACACGTCAAACGTCCCGATACCATCCACACCATCTGGATGCTTGGCGGTCCACCACTGTACGTTTCACAAGGAGTTTTCTTCCACGTACAACCTCTCTGTGGAATAGTTTACCACCGGCGATTTTTCCGGACCGACATGACCTGGGGACCTTCAAGAAAAGAGCTTACTCCTTTCTAAAGGGCCGGCAACGCATCCGCAATTCTCCTGATGTTGCGGTTGATCATGGGCGGCGGTAGTCACTTAACATCAGGTGAGCCGCATGCTCGTTTGCCCCTTCTTCTATAAAAAAAAAAAGTTTCGGAATGCCTTACCGCAGATATCTTCAATGTGATTACGAAACGTTAACTCCGCCACCATCTGCACACCTAAGTCAAGTACGAAAGTAACGCGCGGCATTACCGTTCAGTCAACCTAGTACCGATATTGCAGCGGGCATGACCTGTCACCCATGTTTAGCGTCCAAAACAGGGTTGTGTCATGGCTTCCTGGCTGTTCATACTGTATCTCGACAGCTGTTTACAGAAGCTGAAAAATAGCTATTTGGGTGTGAAATTGAGTGACATCAAAGTAATAGTCTGCTATATGCTGATGATGCAGTGCTTCTTGCACCATCAGAAGCAGAACTGCAGGCATTAGTCACGTGTATGAAAGAGGAATGTGAAATTAAAGGTCTCCGTTTGAATGCTAATAAAACTAAGGTTCTGGCATTTGAAAAGGACGAAGAGAGAACGAAAAGTGAAATATGGGTAAATTAGGAATGTCTAGAACAGGTAAATTAAATTGTATACTTGGGAAGTGCTTTCAGCCGGGATGGAAGATGTGATTTAGATGTGGACAGGCGTGTCGCTGCCGGGAACAAAGTCAATGGTGCCCTGAATGCGTTAGTCAAAAGGCAAGGCGTAGTGAAGAGTGCACGCCTTGCAATACATAACGCAGTGTTGGTACCGACTTTGTTATATGGCAGCGAAACCTGGGTATGCCAGAAGAAGCATAAAAGCACGTTGAATGCAGTGGAGATGCGATCTCTTCGTAAAATGTGCGGCGTTACCATAGGCAACCGAAAGCGAAACGAAGAGATTCGCAATATGGCAGGATTGAAAGATGACCTTATCACAAAAATTGATAGGGACGTACTCCGATGGTTTGGGCACGTTGAGCGAATGAGTAAAGACCGAATGGTGAAGAAAATATATAGCGTGAAAGTAAACATTAAAAGGTGTCGAGGTAGACTGAGACTAACTTTCGAAGACCATGTGAGCAAATTACTCGAAGAGGGGAAGGTCAAGAGTACTCGGATACCTAGACGTGCATGTATGAAGAAGATAATGAACCTGAAAGAAGCGAAAGAGGTATGATCCTTACATACCTCTTTGATGACACTTGATCTGTTCTCTCTGGCTACCCCGTTAGGGAATGTGCGTGAAGATAAGTAAGTAAGTAAGTATGTTAACTAGATTAACTAGTTGACCTATGTAGTTGACCTGTTGTCCTGCTGATACACTAGAAGGGTTGTTGGTAAATAAAACGATCCGCAACAGTGTATGATCTAATTTGGTCTATATATTTTTACCATATTTTCAGTGCCTTTTATAATAAAAATTGACATAACAACGTCAACGTCATTTCTCAAAAAAAGAACTAAATCTTTTTTTAAAATTCAAAAATATGTTTTCTTCATAAAGGGGGACGCCCATTTTCGGTCATGGAACGCCCAGCAATGTGAATTTGTTAAAAAATTATATCTTTATTTATGGTTATTAATCGCGGTAATTAATTCATTTATCCTCAAACAATGGGAATATTTTTGCACAAATTAAAAGTACCGGAAACATAATAATAAAAATTAGGTAAATCATTATGTCATTAGTTTGTGAATAAAAAAAAAGTGTTGCCAATCACAAAACACATTTAAAAAATCGATTCTCTTTTTCGATCGATTATTTACGGTGTCATCATTACAGTGCTAATATAATTTTTAAATAATTATGATGTTACGATAATTAAACAAGCGAATTACTAGCTGATTTCTAATGAATTCTTTAGAGAGTAACAAATGCTACGGCACAATTTAACTGTTAATCTTAACCGATCTTCTTTGAAAACAGATAAGAACTGTTATTCTTATCTGTTTTTAAAGAAGATCGGTTAAGTTATTCTTATCTGTTTATAACAACACATTTAAAATAGAATCATGTTATGATAACGAAACAAGTTAGTTTCCACCTGATTTACCATGAATCCTTTAACCTTTTGAGCGGCAAAGTCGCCTATACTTGACCAACACCTGCGGGCCCTGAGCGCCAACGACGTCTATAGTTGACAAAAAACCCGGCTCCGAAAAATATGAAATATAGATATTGGAAAATTATTACAGGTATTTTAATTCTACACTCCTCAAAATAGGAATAACCCAGCAACATGTGAGTATAAAAAACAAGTCTTCTAGAGCCACAAGTATTAAGAAACATTGAACTAATAAAAATGGATTTTTATCTAAGCAAATACTATGTCCAGCACGCCAAAGTCGTCTATGGTTGACCGCTAGTGTCAAACGCGGGAGGCATAGATTTCTTGAAAACTATCCAAAATTCAGCTCAATGGTGTTTTTTTTTTCTATTATTATTGATATTTGAATAAAATTAAAGGTTATAAACATAAAACTATAATTAGCTACATGAATAAAAAATGTTATCAGATTATCTTCGCATAATAAATCTAATATCTCAACTCTAGCGCATCTTTAGCGCGTCATCGAAAATCAGTTCACTGGGCACCGTGATCAAGGATAGACGACACCCTGATGACGTCATAAGTGATTACCGAGAAAAGTAGAGCAATGCAACATGAACGATTCCTCAGAACTCATTCGGATTTTGGAAAGCGTCGATGATGATGAATTTTGATTTTTGATTAATGAATTGAATTTTTGATTGATTGGTGAACAAATATATTTATTTATTCCATGACCAAGATTTTAGTATTATAAGGCTGATTTACCTAGTGCGAATAATTATATACAATTGTTGATTAATGAATAATTATGTACCTTTTTTAATAATAATACAAAATTACAATTAATGTTTTTTTTACTTAGGGTGTGAAGAGCAATTTTTCATTTTGTGTTGTGCCATTTTCTTTCTCAGTCTCAAAATCATCTAGCAGCATCAGCATCATATCAAATCCCCATTGTCATAAGAGTGTAAGACTTTTCTTCTGTGCGTCACTTGGCCTACGCCTTCCCCGACACATAAAATATTATGAATCGATGTCTGTATATAGATCGGTTAGATCGATTTTGAAATCGATACACAACATTCTAAGAATGTTTCAAAAGGGAAGGTCAGCTACGCCGTTGTCGTCCAGTCGCGACAGTGTCGTCATTAGGATGGAGAGTAGTGCTAATGTTTACTACTATTTTATTGTTATAGTTTGTTTTTTATTTATGTTTATATGTACAAAGTACCTATATATAAAGAGTGGAAGACGGCACAAGATTAAATAAAAGATACAGTTTATTAAGAGTCATTTATAGCATAAAAAACCAACAAAAACAAGTTATTTCACGTTATCGATATATCAACTCTTGGCAACACTATTTTGTTTTGGCGCTTTGGCGTACAGGACACGG